CATCTTGCATTACAAGGTATTTTTAATAGTGATTTTCTTTATTTATAGGCAGTAACAGTCTCATTTAATCCCTTCCATCAGTCACCAATGGTGCAGGTACATTACTCTGCATGCTCAAAATACTAACTATTCTGGATAGTGCTGAGAATCTCACACTGGTGGAGTATCAGGCTTGTTTGTTATTTCTTCCAGGCAATTATTAGAGAAAAACTTCTTTCCAGATCACTTCCCACTGCTTGTATTCCATGTTTTATCATTAGCTTACATTTTGTTTATGGCTAATATATTTGGTAGCATTTGGAGAAAGCATTTCCTTAAAGTTTTAAGTCATATAATCCTTTTATTTATACAACTATGAGTTCCTGGTAAGTGAAGGGAGGTTTCACAATGGGAATTCCTTATGCCAATGAAATCAGATGTCCAGACCAAAGAAACAAATATCTACATCTATACAAATAGTAAATAATCTTTTTAAAATGTGCTTATGGAACCACCAAATACTGCAGGGAATGGGATTTGGAAGACAACTAAATGTAACCTGGATCCCTAAACTCATTAATATAGGACTGTGTCATCATTGGTAGAGATTGATGCCTTCAGCCTGTGTGAGGGATAGGACAGGGTTGAGGACAACAGGGTTACTTATAGCTTATTAAACAGGTTTGCTTTTTTTAAACTTGACATTGTGATGAAGCAAGTATGTGTTCAGTCATTTTTTTAGCCATGTTCAACTCTTTGTGACCTCCTTTGGGGTCTTCTGGCAATGATACAGTAGTGGTTTACTATTCCCTTATCCAACTCATTTTATAGATGAGGAAACTGAGGCAAACAGTGTTAAGTGACTTGCCTAGGGTCACACAGCTAGTAAGTGTCTGAGGCCAGATTAGTACTCACAAATTTGAGTCTTCCCGACTTTAGGACCAGTACTCTACTACACCACCTAGCTGCCCTGCAATGAAGAAAGAAGCAAGAAATAAATAACTGAATGTGAAATTTCCTTCAATAATGTCCTATTCTGATATCTCATTTTGCCATTGAGAGGACTCTGGTTCTTTAAGGTTAGGCCAGTAAAGCACAAGCTCTGTTAGATTCTACCCAAGCTGGAAAGGATTTCAGTAATACTTCACGAATAATTGTATGTTTCTTTTCAGGGAATCAGCCTAGATAAGCTCCCAGAGGCTCATTAGTAGGTTGGTTCCAGTGGGTTGAATTTTTGAAGTCCATTTATTGCTTTAGAGGAGACTTGTGATGCACAACAGTGGAAAGACTGTCTTTACTGACAAATCTCCTGTTCAGTAAAGTATTCCAGCAGGAAGACACACTCTTTCCTTTATGGAATTGTTATTTGGAGGGAAAACAAAAACAAAACAAAATAGTGTCTGACAAAAAAAAATTAAAAACTATCAACTTGAAAAAAAGTTTGCCTGGTACAGCCTCAGGATGCAAATATGCCAAGGCTAATAAGCCTTTCTGCTTTTTTTTTTTTTAGCCTTCTACTAGATTGGTAGCATTAGGATTGAGTCTTCTAGGTCTTTGTCCCTTCTCCTTGTTAGGCAATTTAGGAGATGCTTGCACTTTATTCATGCTATCATAACAAGGCAGTCTCCTATTGGTATCATTCTGACCCTTTGTCTAAAATTCTATATAAGTTTAAGCCTTGAGAGTCTCTGAATCTTAGAGCACAGCATGGATACCAACCCGCCATGTTTGCTGCTCATTTTGGGCATGGAGACCACCAGTGATACTATCATAGAGAATACCAATTTCCCTCCTCTCCTTGTGAGTAGCAACTATATTTGATAGAGTTATCTCTTAACAATGCTGCCACTTTTTATCTGAAATTCCCTGTATTGTTGTGTTAATGCACATATTACTCTGTTTTAATACATGATATAGCATACTAATCGTTAATGTTTACATTCACTCCCCCTAACCTGCCCTCAAATTGTCATGTCTGGATTCCATGAGAAGGAATACTGTCATACAGTAACTCTTAAGCTCTCTCAGTGTCCTAGCAGTTATCCTTTCATGAAGAAATGCACTGTCCTGACTCGCCTCAACACAAACAGCTGCATTTATACTCTCTCAGGGTTCATCACCATAGCTCTTGAGCCTCCACCAATGCGCTTCCATTTACATAAAACAAGGAACTCACAGTGATGACATATTCAATCTTGTAAATAACTGTTAACAAATATGAGAAAAACAACAATAACACCATTACATATACTTTTTAAAGGAAATACAATAATAATAAATGCATGATATGTAAATGTGGCTCACTTTCTCCCACCAAACTCTCATTATCAATGAAAATAAGTGTGCACAGAATCTACATTACTAAGAAAAACCTGTATACTTAGTGTAACTAACAACTCTGGAACTATAAACTTATGGGTCTTTTATTTTCTGTCTCAATAACTGCTCATAAAAGTTCCCAATGGGGCAGCAAGGTGACATAATGGATAGAGTACTGGCCCTGAAGTCAGGAGGATCTGAGTTCAAATTCAGCCTCAGACCAAATACTTGACACTTACTAGCTGTGTGACCCTGGGCAAGTCACTTAACCCCACTTGCCTAAAAAAAAAAGTTCCCAATGAACTTAAGTTGCTTTTTTCAGATACTTTGCTAAGATGCACATCACTGTGCACATACTGTTTCAGTCAAATGTGTATGTCTGCCTTATCTTGTGTAAGGAAGCAATGTGGTGTAATGGGGAAAAAAAATGCTGAACTCAGAGTTAGAGAAACTGGGTTAAAATCTTGCCTCTTCTCTGTACCACTTGTGTGACCCTGAACAAGTCAACTTAACCTCCCTTTCCTTAAGAGTCCTACTCACTAAAAGAAGAGAGATATACTAGATCAAGGATTCTTCATTGGTTGTCAATGAACTTATATTTTAAAAAATTGTGATCACCACATTTTGGTATAATTGGATTTCTTCATATTTTCTATTGATTTTATTTTATGTGCTTAAAAGCATTTTTGTGAAAAGGGGTCCACAGGCCTCACTGGGCTCTGATACAACGCAAACAAACAAATGAACCAAACCAAAATCAAAACTTAGAAACACTTGAACAAGATGATTTCAAAGGTTCTTTTTGGCTTCAAATCTAGGCTCCTATGATCTTCACTGGGTTGATTCACAATGATAATGAACAATAACATTTTAGTACAGTTGCTAGAGTGTCAGGACTGGAGTCAAGAAGATGTGAGTTCACACTCAACCTCAGACACCTTACTAGCTGTGTGAATCTGAGCAAGTCATTTAAGCTTTGTTTGGGTCAGTTTCCTAATCTATAAAATGGGGATAATAATAGCACCTGCCTCCCAGGGTTGTTGTAAGGATCAAATGGCATAATATGTTCAAAGCACGTGGTAAATAGTAGGTGCTTTATGTTAGGTATTATTAAATAAGAGAGGGAAAAACGTGTTTCTATCTTTACTTTGAAGAGGTGGGGAACATTGCATATACTGTGAAACTTAGTTGATTAGTCAATTTTACTGAGTTTGCTGAATTGATTGTTTTTTTCCTCTTTGTTAAAAGGAGTATCTTGCTGGATGGAGGAGATGAGAGAAAAAAAATATTCTTGTGTATGTGTGTGCACATGCGTATATACATACACATACATACTCACACCTCTGTATATAAATATATGTGTTTATTTAAATTACACATAAATGTTGTATTTATGTGCGTAATATATAAATGAAGGTTATATAAAAATAAATCTCAATAAAAGTTTTCAAAATAACCAAACTGATCAGTTGTCCTATTTAATGAATGAATTATTCAGCAGATGCCCTGAGTAATGGAGTCCTTCCCACCACTACTTCAGTCTTACTGATGGATTACTTTTGTCACCTATATTAGGAGATTTAAAAAAAGTATCAGATGAATATTAGCTTTTTGTTATTATAGAAATAAGTGAATAAAAAGAGGCATGCTCAAACAATCTATGCTTGAGTCCATACAACATATTAAGTTTTTCGAAGAATTTTCCTCACAATAATCCTGTGAGATAAGTATTACAAGTAATTATGTATCATCATATGACAGATGAGGAAGACTGAGGCTGACACAAATTCCTTGCAATTTCTTGTCTCAAGGAATTACTTGGGTATTACTTAGGGTTAGTGATTTGCTCTGGGTCACACAATTAATAAGTAATAGAGTTGGAATTTGAAACCAGGTCTTTGCAGAAACACAGGGCAACCCCATTCTAACCATGCCATATTTTCTCTTTGATTTCTTTAGATATAGGACAGTGTGGTTGTTTATGTACTAAACCTGGAATCAGGAAAACTTGAGTTCAAATGCTTTCTCAGAAACTTGCTAGCTGGGGCAGCAAGGTGGCGCAGTGGATAGAGCACCGGCCCTGAAGTCAGGAGGATCTGAGTTCAAATCTGACCTCAGACCAAACACTTGACACTTACTAACAGTATAACCCTGGGCAAGTCACTTAACCCCAATTGCCTAAAAAATAAATAAACAAATAAAATAAAGTTTGCAAAGCACTTTGCACAAATTATATATAAAAAAAGAAACTTGCTAGCTGTATAACCTTGTACAAGTCTCTAAACCACTGTGTACCTCAGTTTCTCCATTTGTTAAAATGAGGGGTTTGGATTGGATGGCTTCTAAAGATCCTTTCCTTCTCTAAATTTATGATCCTATGACTTCATCCTTCTGGTTGTGCAGGAAGGAGAGCATCTTGGAAGAAAGCCACACATACTCTCTACTGCAGAAATATCTGTTTGGGAGTGTCAGTGTAATCTTTCCATGACTTGTTAACATTTATATAGAGTGCTCACATTACTTTGCAACATGTAACATGCCATACAACATGGTGTTTCTGTAACCTTTAAGAACAAGGCTCAAATCAACAACAATAATGTCTTTATTGCAGCATTGCAGTGGAACTAGAGGTAGCTTTCATTACAATTTTTGAAGAGATGAGGTTACTTGCTATATCAGGATATTTAATAATGTTTTATTGATGCCATTTTTTGTATCACAGTAATTTCTGCCTTCTTGGGATAGGACCTCTTCCTTAAAACAAAGAAAAACTGTTAATCAAAAGCAAATTCTGTGAGATTTTTGTCTAACAATGCATGTGACATTCTTAATAAATAGTTTCCTACCTCTTTGTCAAGAGAAGGGAGGTATATTTCATTTTCCAGTCTGTTGTATTAAAATTACCAAGCTCTGTCTTGAAATGCATATTGGAGTAGCCATAGTTAGCATTTAATCTGTGAAAATAAGGACATAAAAGAAAGCTAGTTGGGGTCCATGGTACCTTCAAATAATAATAATATAATAAAATAATACTGCATGGAATAATACTATAGTAACATAGCTATGTAGCTTAATCCTTTTAAGCTTTCTCACAAGTTTTTTTTTAATCAAATGGTTGCTCCTTACCCTAATAGTCAGAATCCTTAGGTTTATAGAACACTTAACTAACTTGTTAGATTGTATCTGGTTCTTTCATACCTCATTCATTACACTAATCACCTTTCCTACTTTTTTTAACCAAAACCAAATAATTTTGATAACTGCTTTGCAATATATTCTGAGATCTTGTAGAATATCTTTGTTTTCCTTGACATTCTTGACCTCTTTTTCCTCAAGATGAACTTCCTTATTTAGGTTTTTTTTTGAGTTCTTAAAACAAACACTTTGGTAGTTTGGGTTTATACTGAATTTATAAATTAATTTAGACAGGATTCTAATGTGTATTATATTGGCATGGCATAACCATGAGCAATTAATCTATTTCCTATTATTAGGTCTATCTTTATTTCTATGTAGTGGGGGAGCTACTGAATGCTGATTCAATCTTTGCAGCACAATATGCTTTGTCTGCTAGCAATACAACTAGAGGCTTGATGAGGTTGCTTCTGAAAATGCTTAATGGTGGGAACTTGTCCCTGACCCAAAGGATAAACTTGTATGCTGTAACTGTTTCCTCTCAGATCACCACATGGTGATGAAAAGCCCTTTAATTGGCTGCTTAGCCAAAAGTGATTGGACATACAAAAATGTGAGAACTTAGTAAAGTGCTTTCTCTTTCATTTGCTTATATCTTGAAGTCATGCCAAGGCAAACCCCTCTGCATGCACAACTGATCCCAATCCATCTTGTTTTCTCCAAGCTTGCTCATCACTCTATCTTCAATGTCTCCCAGACTACTGGCTACTTCCCTACTGCCTACAGACAGACTCATATCTCCCCCTTCCTCAGAAAGAAACACCTTCATTTGATCTATCCATCTCTGCTAGCTATCATCTCATATCAGGCCTCCTTTTTTTGTGGCTAAACTCCATGAAAATACCATTCTTTCTCTTTTCTTAACTGTCTACAGTCTGGCTTTGGACTTTATCATTCAACTGAAACTGCTCTTTCCAAAGTTACCAGAGATCTTTTAATTATTAAGTCTATTGTCTTTTCTTAATCATCATCCTTCTTGACCTCCCTGAAGTTTCATCATTCTTTTCTTGATATTCTCTTTTTAAGTTTTTGTGACACTGCTTTCTTTTGGCTTTCCTCCTTCTAGTCTGACCACTCTTTTCTTTAATCTCAACCAGGTCACATCTACAAATGCCCCCAGGGCTCTGTCTTAGGCCCTCCTCTCTTCTCCCTCTATATTATCTCATTTGATGTTCTCATTCTCATGGATTCAGTTATCACTATGCTGACGATGTTCAAATCTCAAATCTATCTACCTACCCTAACCTTTCTTTTGACCTCTAGTCTTACAGTTCCAAACACATATTGGACATCTTGAACTTGACATCCTGAGGACATCTTAAGCTCAACATGTACAAAACTTAACTTAATATCTTTCCCCCCAAGTCCTTCCCTTTTTTCTAATTTCCTGACTACTGTCAAAGTTACCACCAATCTCCTGTTCACAACCTAAAGATCATCTTCAAATCCTAATTCTTTCACACCCCTCATAGCCAATTCATTGCCGAGTCTTACCTGTTGTACTTTTGTAATATCTTTCGTATATGCCCCCTTCTCTTCCCTAACACTGACACCACTTTGGTGTCATCATCTAATAATGTCTGGACTATTGCAATAGCCTGATTTTTGGTTTATCTGCCATATCTCTCCCCACTCCAGTCCATTACCCATTTATCTGACAAATTGGTATTCCTAAAATACCATGAGGACAGCCATATCAATCCCCTAATCAGTATGTTCCAAAGGCTCCCTATTACCTCCAGGAACAAATTAAATCATTTCCTTGGCATTCAAACCCTTTGATAACTTGTATCCCACTTCTACCTTTCCAATTTTCTTATATCTCATTCAACCAACCATACTCTCTACAAATCAGTGCTTCTGGCCTTGTTCTTCTTTGAATAAGACATTTCATTTCTAACCCTAGGTATTTTCACCTCCATGTCTGGAATTCTCTCTCTCTACATCTCTGCCTTTTGGATTTCCTGGCCTCCTTCAAGTCCAAGATTAAAATGTCATCTTCTATAAGATTTCTTTCCTGATCCTCCTTAAGGCTTTTCTTAAGTTGATTATCTCCAATTTATTTTTAATTGGTTTGTTTATATTTAGTTGTTTGTTGCATGTTATCTCTTTCCTTAGACTCTGAACTCTTTGCATTTACAGAGTCTACCTTAATATAGATTTTTAGGCTGACTAATGAGAACATCTATACATATATGACTTTGTTATGAATGAAAACACATAGTCATTACCCATTAAGCTGCAGCAAGAATTATTAATGGAATCCATATTGTTTAGTTTTTCTATAATTTACAAAGGTTTAGTTTTAAATTTTTTTTTTAAATTAGGGGAAATTTGGAGAGAGAGAAAATAAATGCTTATTAATAAAAAAATTAAAAGTAAAAAATAAAAAAAAAGAAAGAACATTGGATTTTGAGTCAGAGGACTTGGATTCTTTTTTACCTATGTTACTTTGAGTAAATCACTCATCCTTTACAGGGGTAAGTGAAAAATCATATTAGCATAAACTAGAAAGGAAAATGTACATATTTTTATCTGCTAATTTATCTGGACATATCTTTATGAGAAGTAAAGATTAATGAGAGAATAATAATAACTGACATTTACATACATATTCCAGAATACTTTAGATACATTTGCTTGCAAGGGAATATACCTAGCATCCCTCAAAACTGTACAGTCTTTATATCAGTACAAGTAGAGAAATGCTGATGTTCAGCCCATAATCTGTACTCAACAGGTTACTTCATTGTATGAATGATTTCTTGGTCACTATGACAACTCTCAATTGCTTTACACTCAGAATTATTTGCAACTTGTTTTGAGATCAATATGGGGACTTCCATCCTAACAGGCCAAAATGAGAGTATGCTGGTGGCCAGTACCTTTCACTGACCCTTTGGAGTGTTAAGGAGCTTACTAGACCATTAAACCAATTAATTCTCATAAAAGATTATTCTGAAATTATTACAGAATGATGATTTAATGCTCTTTTCTTTGAAGTCTCAGACCTTCCCTGTAATGCATTCTGCAGTCTTTCACACTAGACAGTAAAAGCAGAAGGCAGCATTGTCAGGATAGTAGATGTTAGTAAATCTGAACTCTGGTTTCACCTCTTCTGTTAAAATGTGGTTTTGGAAAAGTTACTTAACCTCATGGTGTCTTGCTTGCTGCAGCTGTCATTTGGGATGATTCACTTGCCTTCTTGAGAGTATTAATTCATTTACACAATCTATTTCATTGAATTCTGTCTTCAGACTTTCACCACTGACAATGGATTGCCTCATCTAACATTTTTTTTTTCTATATGGCCCAACTATTGAAAGTTGCTGAAGGCAGGACTGGCCCTTTTCCAGCTAGCTTCTGTTCACATGAGAGTGCCTCTGCTTCATTGTGTCAAATGATAAATATCAATTTGTGCCATTCTGTTAGCAGAAGCCAGGGTTCTTTCTCAGCTATGTATATTTTTCAATGAGTGCAGGTGTTCTCAAGTAATTGCCCCATGTTAGAATAACTGGTATTTTCTATTATTATTTTGACTCAACCTGTGATTTTATCAGTCACTGCATTGAGGTCCCAGTGTGGAACTCCCTCTACCAATACAGATCAACAATGTCTCCGCAACATATAGTTTTAGAGTCTGAAATCACTGAGAAGTTAAGTAAATTGCCCAGAGTCACATAGGCAGTATGTTTTGGAAGCAGACTGATTCTTCTCAACTGAGGTCGTCAATGTATTCATTATACTAAAATGCCTCTCTGTTAGTTATATAATGTTTTGATGATTTGCAGTATATATATATATATATATATATATATATATATATATATGTATATATATATATACACATATACAATATGTATATATGTATATATATTTACATATGTGTGTACATGCACACATACATATACATATACACATAGGGAGAGAAAGAGAGAGAGAATTGTAGTTTGAAAATAACCTGGTAAGCTAAGTACACATATTATTTCATTTGATTCCTATGACAACCATGGGAGAATGGTGATATTTTTATTTCTATTTTATTGTTGAGGAAACTGAGACAAACAGAGCTTAAAGGACTTGCCCAGGTTCACACAGCTAGCAAGTGTCTGAGGTCAGGATTTGAACTCGGGTCTTCCTGATTCCAGTTCTGATGCTCTATTTATCATGTCACCTAGCTGCCTCAATTTCCTTGTCTATGAAATGGGCATGATAATACTTACATTGTATCCCTCACATGATTGTAGCAAGGAAGGGATTATATAAAGCACTGTACATGTATGAATTATGGAAGACAAAAAGTGAATATTCAATAAAGATGTCAAATTTATGGGGCAATTCCTACAAAACATGCAAGATGAACAACTAAAACCTCTCTGTATCCTGACAACACACATGTAGAGTTAATTGAGGAAAGAGAGGAGGGTGATACAGTGAAAAGAATGTTGAATTTGGAGTCAGAAAACCCAACTTCATGCCTGATTTTTGACAACTATTACCTGTATGACCTTGGCCAAGAATTTTCTGTAAAACAATTGGGTAAGCTATACGGTTTCTAATTCAAACCTTAGCTATGATCCTTGCAGTTGAGAAGGGGTGTGTGTGTGTGTGTGTGTGTGTGTGTGTGTGTGTGTGTGTGTATGTTTCCTCTCAGTCACCTCTTGTTGCTCTACATTTAAACATAATCCAACATATACTTATTAAGCACCTATTATTTGCCAAACACAGTGCTGAATACTGGGTATATAAAGCAAAAAAG